ATGTGCGCCTTGTATTCCACAAAAGCAGTTGCACCATTTATGGTACTGCTTACTGAGTATTGTAGTAAACACCCTTCCATTCCCAATTATTTATAATGTATAAAATGGATTATATAACGATAAAATATAATTTTATTTATTTGTAAAAAGTCAGAAAACATTTATACATACATATATATGGAGTACTCCCCTGTTCCAGAGAATAATCCTAAAGAAGTAAAAAAAAATTTAAAGAATCAAATGTGTTATATTTCAATAATAAATAAATCAAAAATAGAAAACAAAAAATATATATTATCTGCTTAAAAAGTCAAGCTATGAAAATTTAACACAAGTTAAAAAAATTGAACATGCTATTGGATAAGTGATTCAGAAATAAAAAATGAAACAAAGAAGAAATATGCAAGTTTTTAGTTTTATTTTTTAAATTATAATAATTTTTTCATTAATTAATTTTTCATTTAATCTCAGAAATCAGAAATCACTGTCTTGGCACATCTTTCACTTCTGAATTCTCATTATTTTTCCAACATTTATTTTCTCTCATAACTTTTTTCTTCAACACCTTTCTTTAGCAATGACAATATGCATGCTATGCTTTTTCATGAGCTAGTAGGAGTTCTTGTGTTCTGTAATCACTTGATCTACTTAAAATATATAGACAAGATTTCTCTCTTTTGTTTCTCCCTTTTATGATTCTATGACTCTGGTCAGGGATGCCACTGCCTCAAAGGAGAAGGCAAAGGCAAGGAACGATACTGGAAAGGCAACTCCCCTTGAGAGAGTCTATGAGGTTGTGAACGACGTCCCATCCAGTGAGCACGAAGGCCAGACGAAGCTTGAAAGGAGCTCTCTCCTTGTTTCCTCAAGTTTTTCTTCAAGCTAGATATGATCTGTGCTGCAGCCACGAAAATGCCATCATGCCATACTGGACAGTTGAATGGAGGAGATCTCATAGGCAAATCCATCAGATTCTGTCTAGCTGCTTTTGTGTTCTCTTTCTGCAGTGGAAGCACAAATAATAGCTTCGTTGGACGGTATAGCAGTGCAACCTCCGCGAGGTGGTGGAGTTCCCCAGGAAACTGATGACAATAACGGTGGCTGGAACGCTGGTGATGGTGGAGGCTGGAACACTGGAGGCTATGGTGGCGGAGGATGGAACGCTGGCGGTGAAATGGCTGGAACACTGGCGACAATGGTGGCGGAGGCTGGAACACCGGCAGCGAGGATGGTCGTTGCGGCTGGAAGACAGGCAGCGACAATGCTGGTGTGCTGGAGGCTGGAACAGGTGGCAGAGGCTGGAACACCGGCGGCGAAGATGGTGGTCGAAATGGCTGGGGCAGTGAAGAAGTGCTGGAGAAGGACCAAGCTCGCGAGTGGTACCAATGAAGAAGACAATCCCGAGTAGTCCCTGCGTAGAACGCGAGCAGTGGCGAGTCGCAAGTGGTGATGCTGGAGAGGACTAGAGGAGCATCGACAAGACAAGCGTTTTGGCCGATTTGGAGAGATTTTAGTTCGCGGGCGAAATCTTTGTTTGACAAATTTTGGGCTCTTGTTTGTTTGCTCACTTGGATCCACGGCGCTACAAGGAGATGGTCGCGCTGGGGAGCATCAGCTTCGCCGCGACCCCCAGTTGATGCTGATGGTGATGCCTTCCGCCGCTCGGGCACTGGATCGCGCCGAAGAGCCTGGAATTCTCGACGTGGGGGGAATTTCAGAAGCTTCCTCAAGCACGGTCGATGCTGAAATTTGGAGATCCGCCAGAAACATGGAACTCTTTTCTATACTGTAAGTTGTGATGTTCCTTTTAATAAGAGAACGAGACATGAATTACAATAGGAAGATTTTAAGCATTTGCTTGCAGGGTTTGCTGCTCACTTTGTTTTCCAGAGATATACCCTTTATCACGAATCTTCAAAAGGAAGAGGGCTCAAAGCTTGTGCAATGGCTTTGTGGATCCTCTCGCACCCGTTTTCGCGCAGGCCCCCGAGGTACTGGGGCTTGCCTCACAGGTTCACCGTCCTAGCGGCGATCTCCCTGCTTTGGATAGCTCTCGGCAGCATCCCGCTCTATGGTATGTCCAAGACGCCGGCAGCTGGCTGGGCATGGGTGCGCGAGGTGTTCGCATCCAGCCCAGGAACTCTCACAGACCTGGGAGTGATATGCTTGGTGGCTGCTAGTCAGGTGAGGGTGAGGTTGCCAATGAGCGAGGAGGTGCCCATGCCCGAAGACAAAGTAACGAAGTTCGTCATGTTTGGCGTGTCGCTGCTCCTCCCAGTGCTGCCCCTTGCTGCTGGTCGCTATGGACGTGATCTCGGTGTTCTCAAGGTGCTGCTGCTCTATGCCCAGCTCTGCCTTGCGAATTGCGTCGCGTGCTTGCTCGTGATTGCCTGCGAGTGTCGGCGCTGGGGAATAGGAGTTGACATTGCGGAGCTCCTCCCGGCGGCGACTCTGGCCAAGAGCTTGGTTGTCAAGGCGTTGAGCCCATTCCCTCCAGCGGCACCGGTTAGTGGCAGAAGGTTTGAAGGTGCGCTGCTTCACGGGCGCCGCGTACAAACTCCAGAAGAATCGGAAGTTCACGCTCTTTCAAGTCTTGGACTGGTTACAACCGGTACAGTTTCTCGCTTTGTTGGCATGGATTTTGGGCGTCGTTTCCTCCAAGGCGCTCACGCTGTCCGATGGGCTCACCTGGATCTTGGTGCCGGTGGCGATGGTAAAGGCTTTTGCGGCGTGGGAGAGTTGGGAGCTGGGCTCGTCGGAGACGGATACTTGGGCCGGGGTGGCGGCTGGAGTGCTGTGCGTGGTGGCGGCTGCCACAGGATGCGTGGGCTCGGCTTTCGGATGGCTGATAGTTTGTCGGCTGATCTACAAACTTTACCGCTCAGTGTGCTCTGCAATTATGACCCGGCGGATGCTAGAAAAATTGGAGCAGGAGGGGGTGCCCTCCATGTACGCACGCTTCTGAAACTCAAATCAGCTTTTGTAGTTTATCATCAGCAAGGGAACAAAAGAAATAGACGGTTTTCAGCATTCACCTGTTAATTCTTGTAAGAAACTAAAAAATTCTCAAACTACTTTGTGGATGGATGAGGCATGGCTCTAGGCACTGGGCGGCGAAGATATCAGCATGCTCCACAGATTGTGCCAGGACTTTGTAACAGGCACTGGTCACCGGATGGGAAAAGGGTGACAGCGAGCAATATGGGATATGTCCAGCAGCAGTGACCAATCATCAGCTCATGCCATGAGAGTGTAAGATCTTGGCTAGGCAGTTTCTAGATGAAATAAAAGACAAGCAAGCACACTTAGTTTTCCTTCCAGGAGTTTATTTAATCCTTTCTAGGAATTGCATTATACATTGGACTATTTGCTTCTTGACATTTTAGAACAACCATGATGGTGAGTTGTTCAGGATGTATTTTAACAGTTCAACAATTCAAAAGAGCGGTTGCAAAATAATTAAGTTTACTTTGTATGTGTAGGCCGTTGAATCTGAAGCAAAAGTGGATTTATGACATGATTCTTAGGTTTGACCAACTTATGGTGTCTCCTGATCCTATTCTGGCTTGGCACAGCAGATTGCTAGAGTTCTATATTTTCAAAATTTGTAACCATTGGGATCTCTTAGTGGTAATAGAAGGCCTTTCTAGAGTAGGGAAGACTGAGTTACTTATTGAGGTTATGGCAATGATTTGAAAATTTCTGGCTCCAAGCAATAAATGGGTCTGTGGATGCTTTTTACATCAGCTTTAATGGTTGAACTTTTAACACCTTTAAACCTTACTTTTTGACTTTTGAGTGTTAAAGGGGATTTTGAGTATACTATCCATTTTTTGTCCATCTATTCCTGCAATTAATATATTTATTCTTATATACCAAACACTCACATTGATAGAAATGAGGGGCATTGTAATTTGTCTTTGGATGTTTCTTTCTTAAATTCTTTTGTTGTCTTCTTTTTGGCCTAATGCTTTAAAAAAAAAAATTTTGCAAGAAAGGGTAAAGGGGATAGATAGGAATTTATCCTTGATAATGGAGTGAAGATAAATGGATATAATAATAGAATGAAGATAAATAATATGAATTGAGATAAGTACAATGAGTCTAAATGGATCATTCAACCCCAATGTAATGAAGTTGAATACATGCAATAGTAAAATAAGGTTAAACATAAATGGTGGAGTGAGGATAAGTGCAACAAATGTGAATGAAACCGATGCTTCAAAATTCAAAGATGTAGAAAATAAATGGAGTGAGTCTAATTTCCTATGTGTGGTATTAAATGAAGACAATGGTCATAAGTCTGAATTAATACAAGTCTTAAATGTTCAGCAAAGGGAAGATGTAAAAATAAATTCTGTTTATGGTTGTGAATTAGAGTTAATGGTGGTTTTAAAAGATTATCAATAAGTAAACTTAAAGACAAAATATATTATTTGCTATAATTGTGCTTTATTGACTGTAATTGCTCTTAAAGTCCTTTGTTTCGGTTCAAAATTATGATTTTGAAGTTGGTTTGAGCATTTGGTAGTTGCATATAAATTTAAAATTAGTTTATCAAGATTCTATAGTTGATTAATGCTTTTGCCATGGCTTTGGATTTTATTTCAGTTATAGTTGTTAGCAATTATATTGATAATTTTGTAGGAACTTTAGATTCTTGTGGTAGTTCATCTTCCAGAGGGGAGGATGATGTAAGTTCTGTAATATATATATATATATATATATATATATATATATATATATATATATATATATATATATATATATATATATATATATATATATATATATATATATATATATATATATATATATATATATATATATATATATATATATATATATATATATATATATCCCTGCCTAAGTGATATATTAATTATAATACTAATACTATACCATATAGATGTATATAAGTACCCCAATTAATATATTTATATAAGTACCCCAATAGAATTATTATATTTATATAAATTTAAATTTATGAAATAATTCATTAAATATGCGAATTAATACATTTTTGTTAAATAGTAAATAGAGAATATCCTAGTATAGTTTCAACTGTCAGTCGAGAGTTCCTAGTATATGAGTAATAGGCATGTCCTGGAAGTCAACCTCACGTTAATATTGTGGTGGCAGACTTGAGGTTCTTGACTGGCAGCATGCGTCAGCAGCACGGCCTGTGGTACTTCTGCACCCCCACTCGATGGTCAGCTCGATGTTTAGCCTGGTCACGTAAGCCGCCACGATCTCGTGGATCCAACGGAGTTGAGCTTGTCCGAGACGTTGAGCCTGTCCTGCATGTAAGTCCGGAGACCCGATTCCACGAAGTAGATCTCGGCGTTGTGAGGCTCCGTCGCCAGAGCCTTCCACCTTTGCCTTGTCACAGAGAGTCGATTGAGTCTGGCACGCCGCCAGGAGCGTCGTCCACGCCTGGCTCGAAAGGCATGCTGTCGATGGGCTCCTCGGCCCGGCCGAGTAGCCCCTTCCGGCACAGGATCCGCCAGGCAGTCGTAGTGAGCCAGCGCCAGGCTCACGCCATGATAGATGTTGGCGAAGTTGAAGACCCGCAGCGTCTCAGGTGGATGACGCTTGATCACTTCCATCATTATCATCCAGTTCTCGCTGAGAGGAGAGTCCGCCACCGTCTCAACAAGTTTGCGGCGTTTGAGAGGCGGATGGTCACAGTAATGATCCGCCCCCGCCGGTGCCTTCCTCTTGTTTCCAGGCAGCGGGTAGAATAGCCCTGTCAAGGAAAAGAGTTAGCCGATTCCACAGAAATCACGAAAAAACTTACTCTCAGGGAGAGTAAGTTTGCGGTGATCGAGAGGCGGCTGATCACAGCAATGATCCACCGGTGCCTTCCTACCACGACCATCAATCTCCGAGTAGAATAGCCCTGTTTACAAGGAAAAGAGTTGGCCGATCCCATAGAAATCACAAACAATCTTACTGTCAGGGAGAGTAAGTTTGCGACGATCAAGAGGCGGATGATCACAGTCATGATCCACCGCCGCCGGTGCCTTCCTCTTATTTCCAAGCAGCTCTACTGCACCACGATCATCAAACTCCCCAGTTTAGTGAGCCGACCACACAGAAATCACGAAATAAGCTTACTGTTAGGGAGAGTAAGTTTGCCGTGATCGAGAGGCGGATGATCACAGACCGCCGGCGGTGCCTTCCTCTTGTTTCCAAGCACTGTGTTATGATCATCGAACTCCGGGTATAACAACCCTGCTTACAAGAAAAAGCGTTAGCGGAAAACAAGCGACAAGACCTTGGAAACCTTGACCCAGCTCGGGCTTCCGGGCGAACTCCTGTAGCTCCACCACCTTTTCATCGTCAGAGTGTAGGATTTGCTGCCGCTTGGGCGGTTCGACGCTGCAAAGCTGTTCGAGGGATGAATCGTGCTGTACCAAGGAGAGCATCAACAGAAAAGGAAAAAGAAAGGGGAAAATGAGAGAGGAAAAGGAGAAACGCTAGCCATACCTTTTCCTGTGCAGCTTCGGTTTCCTGAGCCTACAAGCAGGAATGAGAGATTGAGAAGAAGCCCCAAAACTCACCTCAATTAGAGCATCTAAGTCGCTCGGGAGCTCGTCCTTGACATTCCATTCACTGCATACAAAGTTGAAGGCAAGCACGATTTCCGCTATCTGTAATAGCTCAAACAACATCTTGGAAAGAAAGAGAGAGCGCTCGCTAGAAACACCAAATCTTAACCTAGTTAAGAAAATGATTTAAGTAACCCTTGAGGGAAACGGTAATTGATGTATCTTAGATTAAAATGTGGTTAGATAAATACATTTAGCAGTAAGGTTAATTAAATATATTACTTATTAGGCTTTGAGAATACGTAGACAAAGGTCATACCTTTGTCACCCCCAAAATCTTCCAAGCCAAGAGACCAGTCGTCAATGGGTAGTGAATCTGGAGTTACTCCCTCAATAGTTTCCATTACGGCTTTCTCAGTGCCAGAGAAGAAAATACACACAGAGTGAGCTTAAAACATACCCAAGGTGTATACAAGGATGGACCATTTCAATCCTGGTTCCAGCAACGCCGGCATTCATATTTCAGGGTGGCTGTATGTGATCTGCAGTGAGAATGGTTATAGATCAGGAACTATAGAAGTTTTCTTTCTTCCTACCAGCAGAATCCTGCGAGAGAGCATGAACTCAATCAGTAGTAGTACACACAAAACCTGTAAGTCTCTCTTAGCATTTGTAGAACGCCTTCGGCCGGATCGACTCCAAACTGAAAGAAGGAACGCAAATTGCATTAGACAAGGATATTTTTGGTGGCACAAAGACGTACTAGCATGGCGTTGGCCATGCCTGAAAAACAAAGAAAAAAAAATGTAAGAGGAGACTCTGGAGAGTAAACTATAACTTTGTTACCTTTGTCAATGACCGCATCAAAGGAACAGTCTTGAAACGCACTCATGTCCCGTGAATCTATTGCCACATCTTAAGTTTCGTCAAGGAAGATATGGCTGCTGCAAAGAAGTAACATCATCAAGCCCAAGGATACAAGAGAGCTGAGGAACGTGAGCATATCTAGCTTTGAAGTTGTCAATCACCACCGAAGATAGATCCGTGTTGACGATTTCCTGGTAGCCATCTTCCACCATATCGTTAGACATTGCTGTGTTACATCACTGGAATTAGTATTCTTTTCTATGGCATCGCTCATTGAGATCTTGGTACCTAAATTGCCACACCCAGCCATCAAAACCCGGGAAGATTTGGGGATGTGCTTACGGACAATCGTCTCGAATCTGGAGTAATCCGAGAACCAAAGCATCGGGTTGCTCCGCGTAGCGCTTGTCCCAGTAGGATATCTCGCCATAGCCACCGGGCTCGGGTGCTGAAGGAGCAATGCGGGGTAGCTACAAGCTCAAAATATTTCGAGAATTTCTTACCAGGGAATTTCGCCGCTGAGAATGGAGGAACCGAGGAGCTGATCTTCGCAAAGCACCGGATGATTCGCGATCGCACCCTCGCCTCGATGCTGCTGCAGTAGCACGCGCAAGCAATTGAGTGGTTCCGATCGAGCGATGGGATTGTCCGAGATCTCGCTCCAGCTGAATCCGTGTAGCAAGGAGGAAGAAGAGGGAGCGCATGGCAAGGCCATAGCCGGCGCACATCCTCCTCCCGGCGGAGAATGGGATGATCTGGAAGTACTGCCCCCCGGGCGAGATAGGAATCGCTCGGGCTGGAATTCGTGGGGGCTTGGGTTGACGAGGAGTTTGCATTCGCGGGGATTATGGTGCCATGGCCATCGCCGAGCTCCACGGGGGGAGGGGCCCCAGCGGCAACGCCGGGTAGAGGCGGAGAGCCTCCTTGAGGATCGCCTGGATGAATGGGAGATTTGGGAGGTCTGATTCTTCCACCCCTCCCGTTCTTCTTGGGCGTTGCGCATGACCTCGGGTTTGCTGATCACTTCGGACATGTACCACTCGATCGACTCCATGGAGGTTTTGAATCCGGCACCCACCATATCCTAGAAGAAAGTTCGATGGATCGTCACATCGCAGAGAAGAGGATCCAGAAGGATGATGATCACTTACACACAATGATCTCTTGGTCCGAGAGCTTGTCACTGTCGTCCAGGGAGATGAGACCGTCCACAAAGTCGCGCAGACAAACCCATCGCCCCGCCTTCTTACGCTCCCGGTGCTCCCGGACTTGATCGTCGACCAGCGCCTTCATCCGGGGCATGATCTTGCCCCTCATCTTGGCGTGGACGCCGTGGAGATCCATCCAGTCGAGGGACGGGATGATCTCGCCGATGTTGAGGTTGATCGCCTGCCAGGCCATGTTGTTGATCGTCTCCACCACCTCGGAACACTCCTCGCTGAAGAGCGTAAGGCACAGCTGTATCTGGCGAAGAGGGTCCGCAAGTTCACGGGCTCGCTGCGCCGTGATCAATCGAGGATGCCCTCCATGGTGACCTGGAGCTGCGATCGGCGGTAGGGGGCACTGGTGGCGAGCATGGCGTTGCTGAAGAGGTTCGTGGCGCAGCATGAGCTTCCCCGGTGAGCGGAAGGCCAGGTCGCTCCAGTCGAAGCTGAAGATCCGGAAGAACTCCTCCGACTGGGGGCGATTGGCGAACTCGGCTGATTGGCGGCAGTATTTTCATGCAAACTTGTTTAACATCGTCTGTACTTTATGGTGAGCCCTACCAAGTGATATCCAGATAAAGTGTCATGTCTCATGATCACGTTAGGAAAGGGCTTGGGATAGCAAATGGGAAAATGTTGCCTCTTTATTTGTTACTCAAATGCTTGTGCAGGAGGTTATTGCGTGATCTTCAGGGGCATGTGTAATTGGGTAGGCACTATCATGACTACCTCTTCTTGGAGGAACAGTTCTCCCAATTGCTGGGAAATACATGTCAGGGTGGATGGACATCAAAATCACACTAGAGCCTATGGCTTCTGCAATTCAGGTATTAAGTCTCTCTGTCAAAGACTCCAGGTTTGCATCCATCGAGCCTCAGATAAGGGTACTTTTAGAATACTGTTCCTGCATGCAAAATTGCAAGTCGTGGTAAATAGGATCCTATCGGAGGGGAACAGAGACATGGTGAAGCATATGTTGCAACTTTTGTTTGACAGGTGTGAAGCTTAAGGCTGCTTCATCACTGGAGATCCAAGAATGTTTAAAAGGGTACGTATATATGCAGGGAACTCCAGCAGGAATCAGGTATAAAAGTCCAACACTGTTGCTATATGTTCTTTGCAGCTTGGTATTCTTAAGCCAGAGCCCCTAAGAGGGGACTACCTTGAGTACGAGTTTTTTTATGTTCTGATGAGAGTCTATGAGGGCACTATATACTTTGATTGCAGGACATGGCGCTCGAGGAGCTTTTTGATCTTTCCTGGGGCAATAGGGGATAATAACCTTCTTCAGATGGAGGTTGAAGCTAAGGGGATAGTGATCATCTCATTAATGAAATGTATCAATTCTATAATCTCTTCCATGTTCAAGGTATGTTTGAGTGAGACTTAGTACTAATGTATGGATTTATTTTCTTTCTGGATGACATTTATATTACAAGAAATGACTACAGATGCCATTATTCATTGTAGTGTAAAGACAAGAGTTTTGCTATTGATACTAGGTTTTTTTTAACAAGCTAAACCAGCAAGAACCTATATGAGATTTGGAAGAAAGAAAACCCAGATCAGTGTGCAAGAAGAAAAAGGATACATTACTGTTGCCTTTGATCCCAAGTTTATTATAGAAGGTAGGACAAAGATATTTAGTCTTTGCAATGGTACGGCAAAGATGCTGGAGAATGGTTTACTTCTCAATTTCATCGATTTATGCTTAAGCATATGCAATAAGAATTTCTTGGGTTGTACAAATAATTAATCTGATTCAAACAAATAGATAAGATTCAAAATTTAGAAAAATCATATGTAAACTTCAATATCTGTTATGCGCAGTCGTTTGGGCCATAACTAAAAGGCTATCAAGTTAATCTTGTAGATGTTCTTGGTTATCAAGAGGATCTTCAGCCAAATCGATTATTAAGAATTACAAAGAAATTTTGTTACCTGTACAGAGTCAAACCGTGATGCCTCAAGATATGGAAGCCCCAAAAAGGTAATACACAGATTCACAAAGAAGATTCCCGCAGATTCCGTTTTGAAATCCTAAAAGTTAAAAAAAATACAGCAATATAATTTGGAAATCCCACTCCTCGTGTTTAGATCGAATTGGGCTCCACGGCTCCAGCTCCCACGTTGCATTCCCATCCTCTTCGTCTATGCTCCTCTGCGTTTCTTTTCCACTCGCACATAGGAAATCGCGGGGTGGCTTCAAATTCGGGGAGCGACTCGGCGGGAGAGAACGTTGCGTCAGACGCCGGCCAGCAGACCACCGATGCTCCCAATAGTGGCGACGATGGGCGGAGTACGCCGGCACACACACTCAAACACGGACAAGTGACGAGCAAGAAATAGATGGTACTCCATCAAACAAGCGTTTCTTTCTAACGAAACCATCCCTCCTTCCACCATATGATAGAACACTGGATGATCTCCCTCTATGTTTTCTTCTTCTTCTTCTTCAAGAGGAACTCTTCTCTGCGGCTTTGGCGGCGACAGCAGCTGTTCTTGGAGGATTTGCTCCTCGCATCATGGCTACAAATTCATCGTAGTCGATCTTCCCGTCCTGTGGTGCTGTAAATTAGTTTCCCTCAATCCTGTGGATGACTTACATTGTCTGTGTCCACTTCTTTGATGATTTCTGTCAAGTCTTGCATGTTTAGATCGCCGAGAGCTTGCTCCAGTTCTTCCACAGTGATGTACCTGATTGATACTTGAAGTCTAGAAAAAAACAAAGAAGCTTGGGCTTTTACCCGCTGTTATCCTTGTCGAAGAACTGGAAAGCAGAGTATAGGTGATCCTCCTTCTCCATTTTGTTGAGATGCATGGTCGCGGTGATAAACTCCGTGTAATCGATCGAGCCATTTCCATCAACGTCAGCCTGGAACACGAAAAAAGAAAAAGAAGAACGAACTAAAACGTAGAAAAGAAGCACACTTACTGCTCGCATGAGCTGCTGGACTTCGTGTTCCGCGAGAGCGGATCCCAAGTTTGCGAGTCCAGCTTTTAACTCGTCGTAAGTGATCGTCCCACTGTTATCTGTGTCAATGCTCTTAAACATCTCTTTGAGTCCCATGATCTCTTCCTCGGATAGACTCTCGGCAATCACCTGGGTAGATCAAATCTAATTCTCCAAAAACAAATACCAGGAAAGATGGAAGTACCTTAAGTGCAAGCTTTTTGAGCTTGTTCATGGCAGAAAACTGCTTCATTCGTGAGAGCACTGCGTTGTCCAGCGGCACGTCCGGCGCTTCGCCATCTTCTTTGAGCCAAGGATGGTCTAGAAATGACAAAGCCTGTGCTTAATATCTCCACAAACATCTTACCAAGAATGCAATGTACTTAGAACTTCCAGTGGTGTCATCCTCTCCTTGGGGTCTTGCTTGAGCATCTTGCGCAGCAAATCCTTGGCACCGTCGGAGATTGATGGCCAAGGGTCGCTGGAAAGATCGAGGTGGCCGCGAAGAATTTCATCGAAAATCCCTTGCTCCGTTTCTACAGATCAAATGAATGGGATCTCCCCTGTTCAATAAGATGATCTTCCTCTTACCAGCCCAGAAAGGTGGAACTCCGCTGAGAAGAATGTATAGGATTACTCCAGCACTCCAAATATCGGCCTCAGGTCCATAGTTGCGTCTAAGAACTTCGGGGGCAACGTAGAACGCGCTGCCAACAAGATCTTTAAAGGTCTCACCTGGAAGACAGAAAAAGAGAAAGTGCCAACTATCACACTAGACCGAATGCGTTTTTTGCTTGAAGAAAAAAAAACGAGAAGAAGATTTCCACGTAGAAATGATCAAGCTGGAGAAAGGAAAAAGAGAAGAAGATTTGCAGGATTTACGTAAAGATACGAAGAGCGAGCTCGGAGCGTAGAAAAACGTACGAAGAGAGTAGACGAAAGCATAACCGGCGATCGATCGATCCGAAGATAAAAACATGATTCCAGGGAGAAAAAGACAAAGTGATCGAGAGAAGAAGATATCCAGATTTACGTAAGAGAGTAGGCAGTGATCGAGAGAAGAAGATCCCCAGATTCACGTAAGAGAGTAGGCAGTGATCGAGAGATAGGATCTCCAGATTTACGTAAGAGAGTAGGCAGTGATCGATCGAAGACCCAACCAAAAAAAGAAAAAGAAATAGCAACTATTCTTTCTAGCAAGCTCGAGGAAAGAATGCGATGGTGGAGGAACAACTTACCGGGCTTGAAGAACACGGAGAGGCCAAAATCGGTGGCCTTGAGCGGCGAATCCTCGTCGGCGCTGGCGAACAAGAAATTCTCGGGCTTGAGATCTCGATGCATCACCCCGAGCGAGTGGCACGTCTGGAGCACAAGCACCATGGTCCGGCACAGCGTCGCCGCCGCCCTCTCGCTGTAGTGCCCGCGCTGGACGATCCGATCGAAGAGCTCGCCGCCCTCGCACAGCTCCATGATGAGATGGACGCTCCCCTTGTCCTCGAACACCTCGCGGAGCGCCACGATGTGGGCGTGGCCACAGAGATGGTGCATGATCTGGACCTCGCGCCGTACGTCCTCGGCATCGCTGCGATCCAGGAGCTTGCGCTTGGCGATGGACTTGCAGGCCAGGCGCTCGCCGGTGGATCTGCGCGAGCACAGGCGCGTGACGCCGAATTGGCCGGCGCCCAGCTCGCGGGCGAGGGCGAATTCCTGGCGGAGATCCGAGAAGGGGCGGCCCAGGACGTTGCCCGCCTTGAATGCCGCGGAGCCCCGGAGGGGTGTCGAGGATCCGGCTATGGCGGACTTGGTGTTCCTCATCTTGGAGGGAGAGGAATCCTCTTTTCTTTCTTCTTCCTCTCTTGGGCGGTCTTGATTTTGCGGCCACTTTTGGTGGCCACCATTGGAGGGATCATTTCTTCCCTGTCTGTTCCCCATTTTCTTTTTTGATGATCAAGTACACCACTATGGTTCGACTATATGCTCTGAAAGAAATCGATTTTCCTGAGCTTTTGGAGACATCTTTCGCAACAATGGCACTCTCGACTCGCGCGAATCGCGCGGTGAATTGATCTCGAGGGTCGAAGGCTAAAAGATGCTATAGCATATGCTTAGACCTCAAATAAATCTGAACCGTAGAATGTTGGACGGTTGAGATGTTCTATGAATGTCTTCTTCCTTTAGCGATTGTCTTTGTTGGAAGACCTAAAATGCGGGTGGCCTGGAAGCGTCCCCTGAGGAATGGCGGCCTCCCTAGGTTCTTCAGCTCCTCTTCTTCTGGTGCGTTAATTGTGTAGATTCATTTGTTAGCTCAGCTGATATTGATTGGATCCAGGGCCACGCGCGCGCTACGAGGAGATGGTCGCGCTGGGGATTCTCAAGCACGACGAACAGCAGCACAGGGTTGCGTCGATGCTGGAGTTGCTGCTGGAGAATTTGAAGATCCACCAGAAGAACATGGAGCTCTACAATGTAAGTTATGTGATGTTTAAGGCTTTTTTTCTTCTCTCTTTTCGTCTCTAAATATCAGCAGACTTTTAGATTGAGCTCCAGAGCTGGAAGAGAACGAGACATGAATTACGGGAGCAAATGCTGGAGGAGGAAGCCGAGGCAGAAGAAGCCAGGAAAAATGTGCAAGCGAAAAGAAACTGGAGAGAATCCATATCTAAGATGTTCACGAGGTATGGAAAAACAAGTTGTTTTGTTTCGTTCTGATGAAAAATTTCATTTCAGGCAAGGAACATTACGGCAAGTTGAACCGGGAGCTGGAAAGATGGTGGCTCGAATAAAACGAGAGAAAAATCTCGACAACTTAATAGGATGTCGCCCTCTTCCTCCAGAATCTCCCAAAGGAATTTATCTTCACGGAAATGTTGGCTGTGGTAAGCTATTTCGCTACAATGTTTTTTGTTTTTTAAAAGTCAAGCGTTTGCTTGCAGGAAAAACGTTACTTATGGATTTGCTATTCAATTCCTCAGAAGGTGTTGTGAAGTACCGTCGAAGAATGCATTTTCATGCTGTTAGTAGATACTCTCGCTACTTAATACGCTGCTCACTTTCTTGTTTTCTTTCTCAGGCAATGCTGGAAGTTCACGATCGCATGCAGAAGATATGGAAAGAATGGCGTTCATCAGAAAAACCGGGTGACGAAGAGGAGGAAGGAGAATTGGAACCGCGAACCGATTCTGTCAGTCCAATCTTTGATGCTATTGCTGACGAACTCTTAAAAAATGCCAACGATGAAGATGAGTTTGAAGGCGCAAGCTTGTTATGTTTCGACGAGGTCCAGGTATTACTTTGGTTTCAGCACCGCTTGTTCTGATTTACTTTCACAGGTAGTTGATCCGTTTACCGCGGTGGCACTAGCCGGAATTTTTGGTAGGCTTCTTAACAGAGGTCTTGTTCTTGTTGCTACAAGCAATCGTCCTTTCACTGATTTGAACAAGGTCCACAATTCATTACAGTTTTACGGTGTCCGACTTACAACTCTTATTTCTCTCTTGCCAGGACGGGCTTCAGAAGGAGGTGTTTCTGAAGTTTCTGGAACGCTTGGAAAAACATGTGTGTCCCGTTTCTGTTGACAACAAAGTGGACTACAGACGAGTGATAGCAGACTCGTATAACAAGGTGCGTTTCTCTTGGAGTCTTTTATATCACTTACAGATTTCTTTCCAGGACGAGCAAAAGCACTACTTTTGGCCTTTAAACAGTCAAACTGATGAAAAGTTGAGACTGGAATGGAAGAATGCGATCAGTTCTTTAGAAAAAAACGGCCTGACCGTTTCATCAAGTCGTGTGCCGGTTATGTTTGGCAGGTACTTACCATCTTTTGTGTCCAAAGATTTGGTAAAATTCCTTTCGTGATTGCTGCAGAGCTCTCGAAATCCCAGAGTCCTGCGACGGCGTTGCAAAGTTCACTTTCGAGCAACTTTGTGATTACCCTGTAAGTTTCTGTTTCCAAAACTCTTTACGCTTCTGAGAAAACGCACAGCTTGGAGCAGCGGATTACATGGCTCTCGCCCAAAGATATCACTCTGTTTTCATCACTGGTATCCCTGTCATGAGCATGAAGATTCGAGACAAGGTAAATACAGCCTCTGTTACGATTTATAACTGACTGTTTCACTAGGCTAGAAGATTCATCACCCTGGTGGATGAACTATATAATCATCAGTGTCAACTCATTTGCACAGCAGCAGCTCCTCCAGACGAACTTTTCCTTGGAACAGATGAGGGCCCCTTGATAGATCTAGAAGGGTGAGTGCTATCTTCACCAATTCTCTGGTCACAGCTTTTTATGTTTCCATCCAGGCTACAGTTTGAGACCGAAGCTGAAGGAACGAGGCTCCGAAGAAATGTCCTTGTATCGGGGAACGTCGCCCCAGTCACAGATCACAGCAAAGTGCAGCTACTCCTGTCTGGCTACGAGGAAATGTTTGCATTTCGTCGTGCGGTATGTCTTTCCTTATCCTTTACCTCCCAACTTCTGGCTTGATCACACCGATCTTTGATATTTGCAGGCCTCGAGGCTTATAGAAATGCAAACCCCTGCCTACACTGTCAAACGCTCGTTAATGGGCCTTTCTCAAACTTCGAAAGGTACATAATAAAGGTTAAGGCTCTTAAGCTAATCAGTTGCCTTTCGTTAAAACCTGAGGTCGAGAGTTCAAGCCTCTCTCACGCAAAGTTTTGGCGTTGGGTTTTAAATTTTACATTTTGGCGCCAAACACATTTTAGGGTTCTTGTGAAGGGCTTTGGCGATGGAGAATGTGGGGGAGTGCCCGGATCTGGTATGCGCGATACTTCGCAGGCTGGATCGGCGCCGCGATCTCGCCCGCTGCAGTAGGGTGTCCAGGCTGTGGCGCCGATGCTGCGCCGACGCAAGGGGCTCGGTAGCGCTCGCCGCGACTCACTTGGTCGGGACAGACAGGGATTTCGATCTCTGGACGCTCGACACCGCCACAGGCAAGCTATGCTTCTCTTCATTCGACACCTACTCGGGACGGATCCTTGACTCCGGAATGGATGGATCCAGGATCCTGTGCGCTTGCGAGGGCCTCGTCGTTGTTCTCTTCGACGTGTGGTCGCTCGCAATTGGCGAGCCGATCTCGGGCAAATGGCGACGTCTTTGGAATGCGGAATTTCCTCGCGGTGTCGTCGCCGGTGCCTTGTTCCCGGATCCCGATCGCACAGGAGGGGAGATTGCCCTCGCCATCCTGCAGTACAACGGGAGGGTCGATCGATACAAGTTCGAGGAGGGGCGCTGGGAGCAGCAAAATGCCCCCTTCTGGGGTTGGTACGCAGATTCCTCGACGTGTTCGCAGCTCTTCTATCAACAGGGTGGCTTGTTCTGCGTCTTCCAGAAATGCCGTGGGCCGTTCCGCCGTTGGCCGCCACGCCCTCTCCCGCTCCAGAATGGGATCTTTCGCTACAACTTGGGCGAGAGGAAGTGGTCGCAGCTCCGATTTGGCAGCGATCAGGAGGAAGGAGATCTCCGCTGGCCCGATGAGCTGCGCTTCTTCCATTGGAATGGCAGGCTCATGCTTTGCTTGTCACACTCTCAGCAAGCCCGCGTTAAGTTTTGCGAGTGTGTCACGGATGGTAGCACCGATGGTGATGGTGGTGGTATTCACGGCAGGCTGGTGGAAGTGCCATCCTTTCTGGGGGCCGGGGTCGATGAGTTCTACCGTGAGTTTGTGGGGAACGAGAACGAGCTGTTTGTGTTCCGGGGCGACCACGCAGTGAGGCTTTCAGGGAAGGACACGTCCAAGACCAGTTTCAAGGTTCCTCGAGCGATGATGTCGAGCGTTTCCTGTTACACACCCGATGAAGGAGAAGCAATCGGACGAGTTGCCACGAGAGAAAAGTCGTCAGACACCGCGGGTACGAGCGCCACATCTCAAGCCAAGCCAAAGGAGGTTCCAGCTCGGCCTTGGATTGTTGTTGCTCCAGAAAAGAAATAGTTGCTCTTGACATTCTCTCAACCCAAGCGGAAGAAGGTCCCAGCACGACCCTGACTTGAAATAATGTTCTTGTTCTTGTTAATAATGTTCTTGCTCTTGTTGTTATTTTTGTGCAATATAAGCTACGTCAAGCCTCATATTCCTTCCTCGTTTTGTAGGATAGTACGTGAGCTTGCTGGATTGGCTCAAGTAGCGAGTAAACACTTTCCTTCCTTTGTCTGGTAAACATCTCCTGCTCGAAAGCCAGGCCACAGAGCTTCCGAAACCATTGGACGGTATTCAGAGACCTCCTCAAGATGCAAGACATCAGATAGATAATTCCACACAAAAACACACACGCACCTAGAGTATGAAACAGCGAGCTTGGCGTAGAAATCAGAGTCTTCTCTGCCAAGTTGAGGAGCTCCTGGAACTCCATGAAATACGTCAACAAAGGTGCCAGAGGCGGGGTGCACAAGTTGGAAACTTGTGGATGGTCTCGCTGCTACATCATTCTGGAAATCGCATTATGAAAGCTGGTGGGAGGACAAATTGTAAGTGAGATTTTAGGGTTAGAGAAGGTAAGCAATGAGCATGCTTCTTGGGTATGATATACTGGTACGCATCTTGCTGTCGCTCGGCTGGGAATCACTATTGCAAGCCCGCCGCGTCTGCAAGGAGTGGAGAGCCATCATCAAATCCGCGGAGTTTAAGGCGCTTTGGCGGCCGCGTTCGAGCGACGAAGACCGTGTCCTCCTGACGGCTTACACCTCCCACTGGCAGCGTCACCCTCGACCACTCCACGTCTGCGCCTGGAGCCCCAAGTCGCGCGTCGTCTCTCCGCTCCCGGGGTGGATGAAGCTCCCGCTCCCGCCCGGCTCCTTCTTCGACATCGTCGCCTCCTCCGCAGGCCTGGTGCTCATCCGCCAGCCGTCTTGGTCCGACCGTGAGACGCCCGGGGTGGAGTTCACGGTGGGCAATCCGGCAACCAACGAGTGGGTCAGCATCCCACGCCTGGATCCGCAGCAAGCCGGTCGGATCTACGGCATGAGTGCCGACCCGGCGACTGGGGAGTTCAAGCTGCTGGACAACCATAACTGGCGTGTCTACGAATCAAGTTCACGGGCCTGGGGCCCGACCCTGAGGATGCCTG